ACGAAGCAACCAATGTTCGGGCACCGCCAGGCGCGGCCACGGCCACGGCAACTGTCGAGACCCATGGCACGGCACGACGCTCACGCCACGGACGGACGAAACCCATGCGCAATGAGCCTCCGGCTTAGACGGCACTGTTCAAAGTGGAGCTAAAAACAGTGGAGCTGGAAGATGGGCAATTCTGTCGATATTAGATTGGTAGTAATATAGGAAGGTGGGTGTCTTGAGCGAGGACGTGGACCGCATCAAGCACAGGGATAATCTCGCACACAAGTTTTGAAGTAAAACTGACCTCGCCACTTTTTATAATCAGCGAGAGCGTGCGCATTGTAGAAACACGAGTATATCATATAAACTTCCTTTCAGATATTTTCTGGTTTACAACTACAAGACAATGGGCCCTGCCTCCCATCAACCCACACCGAGGATACTTGCCCACCATCTAGTCTGGCCCATTGAAAACTCATGTGAGAACTCATTTCACCTGCCCCGATGCGCTCTTACCAATCTTAACTACAATGCTTCCTTAATTACTTTTATGCACGATTTTATGCCTCTAATTGCAGCTACCTTAAATTGAATTAATTTCTTAAAATTATTTCTTAAATTACTAGGTTAACATACTAATATATTAAAATTATTATTATTCTTAAATTTAAATTCCAGGCATCTGGCCCCTAGCCTCGAGTAATTGGTCGCACTCGCGGGGCAGCTAGCGGGCCGTGACTACTACCTCCAAAATCCAGTTGGTTGATTACAATACGCGGCTGCTTCAACTGCCGGATGAGCGTCACGAGTGCTTGTCATATTCATGGCGCACCCATCCATAATCTATAAACCCAATACCAGCCTCAAATAGCGGCCGACACCACCGGCACTTACAGCGCACGCGACCTCTTCGGGCGTCGACGGCTTGAAAGGGTCTTCATGCGACTCGAATCCAGTCAGTTTATTCTCAGACAATATTATCGCTGATTCACAATCGGTTATCAATTCCTCGCTAACATCTGTTTTCATGACTTCTGATCTCACTTATAAACCTATATTTTCGATCCCACAAATATAACACCGACAAAATAATTAATATATACAAAATGATTTAATTCTACTACAACAGATTCTACACGAGGATAAGCAGCAGCGCGTCAAGACCAATAGAGAATTAGAATTACGGATACCCACTCACAAACGGCATAGGCCCAGCGTAGTCGACCCTACCTACTTGACAGTCACAAGCTGATAAAGCAAATCGATCAAACACATAATACCACCACACACACGCGCGTAAAGATATTAGTTACCAGAAAATACTACTGTCAAATAATTGTTAATTGTCATCCATAACTTAATTACACGATCAACGCTCAACGAAATACTTGAACGAGAACGACCTGACACAACCAGCGCACCGTAACGCTGCCACCAACACGAAAAAACAGTTGAGTAGTTTAACAATTTATCTTTACACAATTACCAGACCGAGAGAGCTAAGATCCAAAAAAGTGCAATGTAATATTAAAACAACTATACCTAAAACTGACGCAAACTCATCTTAACGCCGTGGCTCGAAAGTACACGGACTGGCGTGCTCCAAAATAGGACGTTTAATATGGGAGCATAGCAGTAACAACTACACCCAATTTCAAACATGTGGGTCAAACGGTTCCTGAGTTATCGTTGACCGAAGTCAAATGTTGACGGACAGACGGACGAACAGACGGACGGACGGACAGACGGACGTACGACGGACAACGACCCATGGCAATAGCTCAGCTTGACGATGTTGTAGGGACGTAGTTTGTATGTTATAATTTAGAGTATAAATAATCAAGAAGAAATATATTGTTTACAAACATAAGTCACCATCTCGTCGTCCCGTCCTGTCCTGTTCCAACCGTCCCCACCGTCCCGTTCAAATGACCTGCAGCCCTTATATGTCAACCCCGCATCCAATCACGGCCCAGTTCCACTCTACCCCAGCCAATCACACACACCAACACTCTCTTATTCGAATTATTGCGCGCGAAATGCACAATCTGTCCCGCAGATGTGCATACGGCGTCTACTAGTCTGATATTCACCCAGCCTAACTATTTCGAATCTATATGCTAAACGTCCAACCTTCTCTATGTACAACCAATACTATCTACAATTACTAATTCAATGTAACATCTGTACAACATGTGTAAACCATATGTTACAATGTCAAGGTGAGCTAAAAATGAAAGTGGCAAACTTACTGAATCTTTGCTGCGTTTATTTTCTCGCTTGCTTCCCAGCTTCTCGCCGAGAGCGGCCTTGCGTTCCTCCTCGAAACGCTTCTCCTCCTCCTCCCTTCTCTGGCGCGCCCTCTCGACTGCCGCAGTCATCTCGCTGCTCTGCAGCCTCCTTTTCTGTCGCCACATCTACAACAATGAAAGATGAACTCGCAACTTAGCGTTCTTCCATTCATGATCAATCACTCCAATCTTGTAAGTAGCAATGTGCAATATTAAGATGCATATATATTTGTTTGTGCATTAGCGCTTACATCTGCATTTAGGGTTACACATCTTCATCGTCCCCATCGCGTTGTCTGTACTCGGTACAATGCCTCATGCGTGAAGGTGTACAATACCAACATAAAATTAGTTGTTTTTTTATCACATAAGATAAATAAATGCGTGTTCCATCACATTCTAGACATGTTCTGTTACCTCTCCATCATCCACATCGGGCTGCTTTGGTGGCAGTGCACGTCCAGGCTGGGAAGGGTAAGGGCCAGGTGCCATAGGACCTAGCCGAGGGGGTCCTGAAGGACCGCCCGGGTACGGTGGCATGGGTGGCCCACCACGATGATCAAACGGCAATCCCTGCTGCTGCCACTAAACCGGTGAAATAGAACAGATTTCGCCCGAATTAGATTACAAAGTCATTTAACAGATCTTACATGCACATTGTTAACATTAAATGCTGAATTACAAAATTATGTCTGCCTCGGTGGACCGGGCCTCTCTCCCTGCTCGACATGCAAGTAAACAGTGAATTACAAATACATTACTTCATTCATAATTTAGTTATAATATCTGTATAGTAGTACCCTTTGTAGTATTTAGTTGTTTTCGAAATATTACAATTGAGCTTGTCGGCGTTCGAGTTAGATGTTTATGCATTTGGGCGAGGTTTACACAATTAGGTTGAGATATACACGTATGCATGTAAGATATACATGTATGCATAATAATATATATATATAATTGTATGCATGTAAGATATACACGTATGCTCACCCGCTGCCTGTACTCTCTATCATCCCGCTGATGCTCCTTGTCATGACTTCTCGATTCTGCTGACCTTGTACTGTCTGACGTATCTTTCCTGCAAGTCAATCGACGTCAAGTTGAACATAATGATATGTAAATAAAGGAAGAAATATAGATGTACAGCGTAACCTTTTCTACTTTGGTTCCCCTCAAACTAGCATCTCGTTGATTGGATGTTTTACGCACTCTTCTTTGTACATTACAGTTACATGTAAAAATTACGTTATAATCAAAATGGCAGTTGGCATAATTTTCATTAAGTAGTAGAATACAACTAATATGAAATAATTTGAGGTTGGCCTCAATACACACCGTGAAGCAGACATATCAAATATTTAACCTAGATATTTAAAAACTATATGATCACTCCATTAATACAGAGGTACTTGCTCAGTAAAACAGAAATTCTGATCAGCTTCGTAACAGATCATGATTGACAGATTGTTTTAGAAGCATCATCGCAAGTATACAATATGGGCCGTGTAGCTACGCAAGGTGCGAAATTAACGCGAGTCCAGAGGCAAATACTCCATGATATTTTCTGTCGGACTCCCTGATTTGACATATGCAGGAGTCCGTGTGACTCCCTGAAAATTCTGCTATACTAACTACCAAGTATACTTCGTTCCAGAGCATGGCCTCCCGGAATTGCCGTATTTTTCCAGCAAATGTCCAAAGACAATTTGGCAGACGTGCATCGCATGAGTATTCAAAATAAGCACACGCGTTATTGTTAATATCTTTAGTTTTGAACTTCAGACTGCGGACTCCCTCATTTTGCTGCGAACTCTCTCTTTTTGAGGGCAACGGACTCCCTTGTTCAAAAGTTAATTTCTACACCTGGCTACGTGTAGGGCCTACATATAGCATGCTATGGTTAGCTAGAGTGTAGGGGCTATGCTACTCACCTGCTTTCATCCCTATTCAATCTGTTGCTTGCAATATCTTCATCATCACTGAACTTTAACTCCTTACTGCAATCGACAGTATACTATTGCAATGGATTTTTAATGGTAACACTTAATATTCAAGTAGACAGTAAAATATTGTAAAATATTCACATATATTGTTGTAAGTATAATTTATGGTTTAAAGAGGTTTATTCATATAAATCCACATCCGTCCATAAACGACATGTCATCCAAAATTCCTAGGGGAGAAATTCCTGACATGTATTATGTTAAACGATCTAATTACACAAGAATATCATATATGAGGGTGTAAATTACCCTATTTTAAACTAGAATATTAAGAGTTTCACACTCGAACATGTCGAATATACATTGAACGAGATGAAGCCCTAGCATACCTATAGTCAACTTCACTCTGCACTGCTGCCCAACTGAATCCATTTTGGTCATTTTCCATTATGTGGTCCAACTCTTTTAAATCCTCGTCCCTGACAATAGCTGGTCTACTGAACGCCTCACCATCCATTTTCTGCAAACAGTCACGTTTACGTTTATTGCAATACGTCTAGTACATGAGGTAAGCAACATGCAGCATTATCTCTATACAAACACCTCAACAGAAATGTAAATGACAAAGGTATTCGATAAATGACGCCCCCACCCCAAATCAACATGCACGCAATGTAGTCAACATAATAAAAACGACTCCCCCCCCCATCCCTAATCAATATGAACTGAAAGATCTGTGAAGATAACAAACTTGCACACAATCTTCAAAACCAATCGCCCCGAATGAAAAACCGGCACACGACAACATGATGCATAGTTAGTTGTACCTGGCTGTCTGCTGGTGTCTGTGGTCCGTTCCTGTTTGGATTGAGACCAACACCGCTATGTGACTGCACCAATGACTGCTGCTGCTGCGTGGTCACGCCACGACCTCCTCCCTCCCGCCAGTTCCCCTCGTCTGTAACCACACGCACAAAAAACTTAGATGAATCACATCATCGCTTCCCTGTAGCTTGCCACTTTACCTTAACAACAGACATGCTACTAATGTGAAGCTTGCTAAACATGACACCGCCACATACCTTCACTCTGATGTGTCCTTGCATTCAGCAACGCATTCTACGCATCAAAACACACTTAAAATACTTGTAGATTTTTTAATACTTCAAAAACTATGTAGTATTTCTGAGTGTGATGCAGACAACGTATTAACCTGCGAGCCGTGCAGCCATGATTTGCACGGTCAGTTTTGAAACTGCACAGCCAAAAAAAATTTAAACGTTACTTACCCGGTCCCTGCTCCCCTTCCACATGCCCCACAACGCTGCTCCATAATTTCGGACCACTCTCCCCAGATTGATGCCCCTGTTGTGAATTCTGGTAATTAAAATCAAAGTGTCAATGACACTGTAGCTCACCACAAATGAAAGTGTCAATGACACTATAGCTCACCACAATGAAAGTGTCAATGACACTGTAGCTCACCACAAATGAAAGTGTCGGTGGGACGGGTTGGAACAGGACAGGACGGGACGAACAAAGATGGTGACTGTTATGTGTTGTAAACAATATATTTCTTAATTGAACACAATTCTATATGTCTTCTTGATTATTTATACTCTAAATTAATAAAGCATAAAAACTACGTCCCTACAACATCGTCAGCTGAGCTATTGCCATGGGTTCGTCGTCCGTTGTCCGTGCGTCTGTCGTCCGTGCCGTCCGTTCGTCGTCCGTCCGTCAACAATTTGACTTCGTTCAACGATAACTCAAAACCGTTAGGGGAAAAAAAGGGGGGGGGGGGGGGGGGGGGGGGGGGGGGGGGGGGGGGGGGGGGGGGGGGGGGGGGGGGGGGGGGGGGGGGGGGGGGGGGGGGGGGGGGGGAAAAGGGCGGGGGGGGAGGGGGGGGGGGGGGGGGGGGGGGGGGGGGGGGGGGGGGGGGGTGACCCACATGTTTGAAATTGGGTGATTGTTGTTACTGCTATGCCCCAAATTAAACGTCCTAATTTTGAAGCACGCCAGTTCGAAGTACTTTGCGCGGCCATTGTAATTTTTGACAAAAATGGGAATTGCCATTAGTCAGTTCAGGTTCAACGGATTTCTTGGCTCATTTTTAGTATGTGAATGAATAAGGGCTAGGGTTTTGATATTTAAAAAAAATCTATGCAAATTAGGTAGGGTTTGGCAATTATATAGCATATTATATAGACACAAACAGTCTGTGGTGTCACACTCGTCTGGTTCATTTTACAAGATTTCATTGACAATATCTTTAATGCAAATTGGTATTTTCTCTCCCCGCCCTGCGCGATAAATACGTCTATATTAGAGTAAAGTTTTACAAAACATGTCGGAACCGCAGCATAACCTATTTATTTCAAACGCCATCACTACAAAGCGGGTATAGCGCCATCTACGGTCACAAATTGTGATTCATTTTGGTTATAAAATTAATTGCGATATACAGATGGCAATCGTTTCTAATAATGTAACGTCGATGTGTGCGTCAATTAAAACTGACTTCTTCTTACTCACTGCATTTGTTCCTCTTTTGTGTGAGCTACGTGTCATTGACACTTTCATTGTGGTGAAGTACAGTGTCATTGATNAGTCTCGATCACCTGCACACAGACACAGATGAGGTTGAGGAATGGAATAACGTGTGTGGCGGCGGCCATGTTTAAGTCTCACCTGCACACAGACACAGATTAGGTTGAGGAAATGGAATAACATGTGTGGTGGTGGCCATGTTTGAGTCTCACCTGCACACAGACACAGATGAGGTTGAGGAATGGAATAACGTGTGTGGCGGCGGCCATGTTTAAGTCTCACCTGCACACAGACACAGATTAGGTTGAGGAAATGGAATAACGTGTGTGGTGGTGGCCATGTTTGAGTCTCACCTGCACACAGACACAGATGAGGTTGAGGAATGGAATAACGTGTGTGGCGGCGGCCATGTTTAAGTCTCACCTGCACACAGACACAGACACAGATGAGGTTGAGGAATGGAATAACGTGTGTGGCGGCGGCCATGTTTAAGTCTCACCTGCACAAACAAGTAGATGACAGCAAGGAATGGAATGACGATGATGAACGGCGGCGTGCTGAAGCTGATCGCGAACAACGTGGTGATCACCTGACAGGTGCACTCGATCAACATGCCGAATATGTGCGGAATTTCGTTATCCACCGAATTAATGTCCTGCGAAAACCTAGAGGAGAACCAGTAGTTAATGCAGAAAGGTATAGGGAAACGGGGGCTAACATACCAACTGTGTGTGCGTGTGTGTGTGAAGGGGTTATAAACTGTAAAGAAGTTGTACAGTATAGAATAATGAGCTAGTATAGTGTAGTGAGTAGTGTATAGTATCAATATTTTTAACAAATGTAATTTTAATTCAAAGTTGTGCTTTCATTCAATTTGTGCAAGAAAACATGGGTCTGTAATTAACTCTTCTTATACCCCCGTCACACCGGGGTGGCGTCCTTACTGCGCTCCTACGGCGACGGAAAATGGGCCAAGAGCGCGCCAAGGTCGCCATAAGCGTGGTATAAGCGTGGTGGAAGTTCAAGGAATTTTCTGGTCGCCGTACGGTCGCGGATGGTCGCCGTCCAGTGTGACGGGGGTATTATCAGAACGCTCCTGGCTCAGCTAAATTACTGCTGTGAGGAGACAACCTTGGCTAGAGCTGGCTGAATTGTCCGTGGCCCACGAATATTCATCTCACAAAAACTATATTCACAAATATATTATCATAAAAGCATTATTATAAAGTCGTATGCAAACACTTAAATAGAGAGGAGAAAGAACGTGAAGAGAGAGTTACATACATCATAAATATGAGTAATGGAGTCCATACTAGTTCGTGTAGTGCAGGAAGTTTAACTACAGCACCACCTACCTATTGACTATTCGACCGAGTGGGGTCGTGTCGAAGAATGATATGGGAGATCGGAGAACGTTGGCCAGCATGTTTCTGTGGAGGCTGCGCGAGGCAAGGAGAATCCCGGCAGCACGGGTGAGGGAGGCCCCCAGCACAAAGATGCCTGCGATACAGAACAAACAACGTGGTTAGGTGCACACAAAATATATGTGTATATATACATAGACTGGGTGGTCCACAACCTAAAATTCAAACATGTAAAACTGGGAACCTTAGAGGAGTATTATTATGTGAAATAATGTGCGCGAAGCGGACATCACGAGCGCGAAGCGCAAAGTCACTTGCGGCTGGGCCTAAGGCGGGCCCTGGAAGCTCCAGGGGTTTTAGATGCTCTCTGGTGCAATCTGAGCCTTAATTTGGAGCATTTATGTACAAAATTTATGACCTAAATTTCAAAATAATATGGATTGAGTCAAGAGTCATGAGTGAAGTCAT